CTGCCGCCGGCCGCCGGGCCAGCCTAGGGGGCGGGGCCGGGCCCGCTCCCGGACGGGAAGCCTAGTTTTGGCCCCGCCTTCCATTAGCCCCGCCCTCCTCCCATCTCTCCCCGCCCACCAGGACTCTAACGTCTCAACCCGCCGTGTTTCCCATGGGCCCCGCCTGTTGCTCCCGCCCGGAGTCTGTGCTTCCTGGCGCTTTGGTTTCTCCCGCTCTTCCTTCCTTCGGGCTCCTTCTTCACAAGTCCTCATCCATCCTTTAGCTATCCCGTCTGCAGTCTGCCGTTATCTAGATCTCGTACTCTTTCCCTCCCCAGCTGGAAGTTTTCGCCCTATCCTCTAAGTCCTTATTGACCCTTAGGACTCCCAGGTTCTCTGGTTCCCAAGACTCCCCGTTCCAGGTCCCCTCTCCCCCGTCTAGCCTGGTAGCTTTGTATTCTTTGCAGGTCCCTTAGCATTCCCAACTCCCATTCTTCACCCTCTCTTAGCCCTGCCCAGCCTAGCCTAATTGCTTTCAAGCCCCTTAAAGCCTCTCTCCTTCCTTGTCTCCCCTTCCCACAGCCCATTCAAGACATTTTCTACCATTCCTAGACCCCACCCACCTTCTTCAGTCCCGCCCCAAACATCCTGACACTAATTATCCCGGTCCAGCCCCGACTAATCAGGCCAAATTTGCAGCCCCAGCCCCGCCTTTTCTTTACCTTGCCCCGACAGGTATTCCAAGCTAGACGCTCTCAGGTTTACAGGCCTCGCTCATCTCCGCCTCTTCTCCCCGGGTCTCAGTTCCTGTAACCCCTGCCCTAGCCCCTCTCAGCCCAGCAGCCTATTGCCATTTCGCGTGACAGTGCTCCAAACTCTCCATTTCCAGCTCCCGCCCTCGTTTAGTCCCGTCCCCTCATTCTCCCAGACCAATCAAGACATTTCTACTACTTTTTTCCCCCGACCCCGCCTCTTTTTAAGACCCGCCCTTCCCAGTCCGAGCAATGTTAGGAGCCCAACCCCGCAGTCTCCAGCAGTCCTTCCCCACCATTTTCTGCTTATCCACACTTTAGGTCCGGCCCGCGATTCCTTCTCTGCCCAATCAGAGCGGTCTCCCCCATTGCGGCCCCGCCCCCTCGCTCCGTCCGTCAGGCCGGTCATGCCTCTTTAAATAGCTTGGACTTGTTCCTTTCCTCTGCTCCGCCCCATCCTTTTTTCAGTTTAATCAGATCTCTTTCTTTTATCTAATCCTGCCTCCTCTTTGTGCTGCCGCGCCAGCCCACATTCGGGGCGCGTCCCGTCTCCTTTAACACCTCACCCGCCCCTGTTCCCCGAAAGACCCAATCGGTGTGTTTCACCTGCTGCCCCGCCCGGTTCAGCTCGGCTGGGTTAGAGCCCCGGCCC